AGTCATGCCAGGCATGTGTGCATGCATGCCCAAAATCCTGAGAGAAGAATGGAATCCCCACTGGGGGGGTGGGGTGATTTTTCACTTTCTGTCTCTCATATCTCTGTGTCTCTCTGACAAGTACATGTGTCATATGGCAAAAATCTCTCAAAAATTAATAAAAATAATTAATTAATTAATTTAAAATAATGGAAAAAAGAAAGAAACTTAAAAAAATAAAACCTATGTGTCCAACAGAAGAATATTTGTCAAAGTCAATTGAAATATACCCATAGTCAGGGATATCTTTCAGTCATTAAAACATCATGTGGGCCAGCAGATAGCATGGTGGTTCAGTGTCTGGATCCCGCATGGCCGGCTACGTGGATCAAATCCAGGACCAGCAGCTTAAACATGCCAGGCACGTGTACATGCATGCGCAAAATCCCAAGACAGAATGGAGGAAAAGGACAGCAGCACGACTATCCTCCTTGGAGGGTACTTCCTCACTTTCTCTCCTTCCTTCTGTCTTTGTCGCTGTCTCTGGCAAGTGCACACACCCTATAGTGAAAATTTTTAAAATAAATAAATAAATCATCTTGTTGGACTAACCCCGTAGGCTAGTGGTTTAGGGAGCCACATCCCACATGGCCAACTACTGCTTGAATTCTAACCTCAACAGCTTGAAAAACATGCTGGGTACGTGTGTATGTGTGTCCAAAATCCTGACAGGACAGAGAAATGAAGACAGGATTGCGGTGTGACAACACTCTATTTGGGGATACTTCCTTTCTCCTCTCCTTCTCTCTCTCTGTGTCTCTCTGTTTCTTTATATCTCTCTGGTTAGCACACATGCTTTTGTCAATTTTAAAAAAAAAGAAAGATGGGGCCAGCACCTGGCTGGTGGTTAAGGGCGCTGGACTCCCACATGGCCAACCACTGTTCAAGTCCTGGACCCAGCAGCTTGCTTTCTCAATTTCCCGCTCTCTCTCGCTCATACTCTGTCCCTCTCTAGTCAAATTTAAATAAATAAATAAATGAAGTTAAATAAAATCATTCTTTTTTTAAGAGAGATTTTACTATAGGACATATGTACTCATTAGAGAGACAGAGAGAGACTGAGAGGCAGAAAGCAAGAAATCACCCCACCCCAGGGGCATGGCTATGCCACAATCCCTTCTCCTCCATTCTCTCTCAGGATTTTGGACACACATGCACATGCACCCAGCATGAGTTTTAAGACACTAGGCCTAGGATTCGAATTGTGGTCAACTACATGGGAGTCTAGCAATGTAACTATTACACCATCTGCTGGTCCCAAAATAATTCTTTAAATAAGAAAAAGAATGTTGTAGTAGAAGACTTTAGAAAACCTGAGAAAATGTATATATTTCTATAAGAAAAGGTAAGCTATTATGTTCAAAGATATTGTATATAATAAAAGTATTACATGCAATATAGATATATGTTTTATCTCAAAAGGGATTATGTAACATACTTGTATCTAATAATGATTATTATTATTGTAACTAAGCTTTATTGAGATTTACCACTAAGCACTTTACATGTAGCATCTCATTTAATCTCCACAACAACTCTATGAAGTCAGGCACTGCTATTATACTAGTTTTTCAGATTAGAAAATAAAAACATAGACAAATTAAATGATTTTCTAAAGAATTTAGATGCTGCCAGCAGGAGGCGTGGTAGTTAAGGCACTGGAATTCCCACATGGCTGACCACAGTTTGAGTCCCAGACCTGGCAGCTTGCTTTCTCACTCTCCCCCTCTCTCTCTCCCTCTCTCTCTTTTTCTCTGTCTTTCTCTGGCAAAACTCATGTAAAAAATCATAATAAATAAATATAATAATTATTTTTTAAAAAATTTAGAAAGCTAGAAAGTAGCAGATCTAACAAATTAACCCAGAAAATTAGACTCAAGACATATATAAAATACACACACACATATATACATATACACATGTATGCATGTACTTATTTACATACGTATGCAGATACAGCATATACACATGGATAATTAACATACATAAGTCATACTCCAAAATATAAACATTTAGGTCAATAACTTCCTTTGTTATTTTTTGTACTCCATATTCCCTTAGTAAGCATATATTAATTGTAGAACTTAAATCTTAAACTTAAAAAATGATCTTTTCTATATCCTGTTAGCATGATTTGCTCTATGCAAAGAAATTCTCTAGTGTGTAATAGAAACTAATCTGACTCCTGCTTGGATGAATCTTCTCCAGCTTTCCCTAGCTACCCAAATGCCCTGTCTCTCCCTCCATGCCTCCGGTTTAGGATAGCCGAATAAGACATTTCAAGCCCCATCTCTTCCCTAAAGTCCTTTCAGCTGTTCTTTTTAAATTCCTGATGCACTTAGTGGATGGTGACACAGCACAGTATTTCATTGTTCTTAAATTATTTCCTGGGAATTAGCTTTGGTTCCTGCACTGGATGCCAAGTATTCTACATACTGGTACCATGTCTTGTCTTTTTGTTTTGTTTTGCTTTGCTTTGTCCCCACATACTCCCCATTGCTCCTCTCACTGGCCCAATAGTGAATTTCAAATAAATACTTAATTGCAGGTTGACAGATGTTCTTCAAGTAACATCCCTCTAGTATAATAGGTTCCTGAAAATTGTGCGTTTACTCAACAGAAGAGTGAACTGATTCTAGTGACGAAAATTAATATGCTGTAGAATGTGCTACAGGAAAGAGAAATTCAACTCAGTAGAGTGCATGTGCTCACCAGAGAGAGAGAGAGAAACAGAGACAATGAGAGGGAAAGTGAGAGATCACTCCCAGGAGGGTTGGCTATGCCACAATCCCTTCTCCTTCATTCTCCTCCCAGGAGCTTGGGCACACACACAAACACACACATGCACGTCTGGTGTGATTTTTAAGCCACCAGGTCTGGGACTTGAACCTCAGTTGGCCGTGTGGGCGTCCAGTGATGTAACTCTGTGCCATCTACTGGCCACATCTTAATCTTTTTACTTGCCAGAGGACATGTGTGCTTGCCACTAACATAAATAAGAATAACGTATCATCTAAAGATGATAGAGAGGTACACAACTAAAAGAACATTATAAGCTGCTATATATGTGTGCTTTTGTGTGCATGTTTGTGTGTGTGTGTGTGTGTGTGTGTGTGTGTGTGTGTTTTAACTTCCAGGTATGTAGGATAACTTCCTCAGTGTGGTAAAAAGAGATTTGAATCCTGGGAACCAGCAGTTAGCATAATGGCTATGTCGCTGGATTCCCACATAGTTGACCACGGTTCGCATCCTAGACCCAGTGGCTTAAAACTCACGCCAGGCACGTGTGCGTGCATGCCCAAGATCCCGAGAGGAGAATAGAGAAGGGATTGCAGCATGGCCATCCCCCCTGGGGGATTTCTCGCTTTCTGTCTCTATGTCCTCTGTGTGTCTGGCGAGCGCACGCGCCCTATAGCGAAAAACAAAAACAAAAACAAAAAAACTCTCTCAAAAAAAAAAAGAGATTTGAATCGTTTGTATCCAGTATTGCATCCTTCTCTCAAAACAAAACTAAGGGCACTGGCAGGTTGTGTGGTGGCTAAGGACAGTGGACTCCCACATGGTTGACTGAGGTTCGAGTCCCACACCTGGCAGCTTGCTTTTTCACTTAATCTTCCTCTCTCTCCCTCTCTCTCATTCTGTCCCTCCAAATAAATAAATAAATAAATAAATAAATAAATAAATGGATAAATAAAGTTAAATAAAATTATTCGTTAAAAATGTATATTTTATTACTTAACTCTTATTTTTATGAAACAAGAATAAACATAAAAACATTTTGTTTTAAAATTTAATATTTTAAATCCAGAGGGCTGGCAGGTGGGATGGTGGTTAAAGGTGCTGGACTCCCACATGGCCGACCACAGTTCAAGTTCTGGACCTGGTGGCTTGCTTTCTCACTTTCCCTCTCTCTCTTTCTCTGTCTCTCTGATCAAACTGGAAAATAATAATAATAAAGTTAAATAAAATAATTCTTTAAAAACGAATATGAATAGTTATAGTCAAAAAATAAAATGAAAATCTACTGTATAATATAAATAATATGAATGTACTTTAATGATAACATAACTGAATTACATAATAATGTAATGACATATATTTCATAGTCATCTCAACAATATTTTTAAATCTTGAAAAACTGGAAATAAATAAAATATTGAACGATAAGAGACAAATTCAACTGTGGTGAATACAACAAAATGAAATATAACACAATGAAAATGTGCATGAAGAATGTGTAATAGCTTAGAGAAATCCATGTTAAAAAGTTAATGGGCAGAAAGCCAGCATCAACAAGTTATCTCATATCCTCCCAAGCATATCTTTAAAGTACATATTGGAAAAAGACTGGAGATCAAAATGTCAAAATGTTAATAGTGTTATAAATGATAGAGTTATAAATGATTTCTCTATAGCTTACGAAACTTCTATACTATTTGTTATTGTTTACAGGAGAACTTTAAAAACATTCTCTCATTATAGATCCAATGAACAACTACAGAGTTTTTCACATCTTTTATTTCAGAGGCCATTCTTTTGAGAAGCAATTTCTGTCACATAATTTGAGATATTAACATAAAGGATGCTTCTCAGCTTATAATTTAACAGCTCACAAGAAGTACTTATTTTTCAAAAATATTTTAAAAATCACAAGCTTACTAGAAAATTACATTTTATCTCAGTTATAGTATCAATTACCATAATAATTTAGTGTATTGGGAGTGTATGTCCATGAGCCAAAATACACATATTTAATCAAAAGCATTCATTAGATCGCCATAGAACTCTATTTAAGTAAAGATCCAACATACATTTACATCCTCACTTTCTCTGATCCCGAAGCACTTCAAGCCAAATAAGATTAAATTTTTAAGAAATACAACTAGAAGTTCAAAGTTAAAACCTTAAATAAAAACTTAGGATACTGTTGTGAAAAACAACAGCATTATCCACTGTCTTACCGAAGATAGTTCATCACATCCCAGTAAAGTGTAGTAATCTTCAGTATCTTCCGACCTGTAATTCAGTATAGCATCCATTTAGTTTAGTAAATCAGCTTTTCTTCCCTGGGAAACCGGAGGCGCAGTGAGCTTTGAATTAATAGGAAAACCCCTTTAAATCTGAATTACAACAGCTCTTTCCAAACAGCAAAACTAGCTTCAAGGCTGGGCACAGTCAATAAGCCAGACGCCCTACACCTTTGTAAACGCTACCTCTCATTGGCTATTTACAGAAGAGAAAAGAATAGACCACGTGCTTAACCTCGCAGTGCTGCTTGGGATCTGTAGTTTGACTTTATGTAAGTGATGCATCTGCCCCCATTTGTCTTATGAGTTAATAAATACTGTCCAGAGAGCTGGCAGGTGGCCAACTGCAGTTCAAGTCACCCTGGACCTGGTGGCTTGCCTTCTCTCTCTCTCTCTCTCTCTCTCTCTCTCTCTCTCTCTTTCTCTCTCATTCACTCTTTCACTCTGTCCCTCTATGATCAAATTAAAATAAGTAAGTAAATAAAGTTAAATAAAAAATATTTTAAAAAAAAACAAAAATAGGGGCCGGCCGGTGGCGTGGTGGTTAAGGGCACTGGACTCCCACATGGCTGACCGTGGTTCAAGTCCTGGACCTGGCAGCTTGCTTTCTCACTTTCTCTCTCTCTGTCCCTCTGTGGTCAAATTAAGAAATATAAATAAATTAATTAAGTTAAATAAAATAATTCTTTAAATAAATACTGTCCATCTTACAAACTCCCCAAATTAATCATTTCTCTTCTTCCTATATTTTTATATTTTTTCCTTTAAAAAAAAAAGACAAGAAAATGTGAAGTTATATTTTAAAAAATCTAAAAATCTTAGGATTAGGTTCTTTTCTGAGTATTTATAATATTACATAATTTTGGGACTAGCAGATGGCGTAATGGTTATGTCACTGGACTCCCACACAGCCAACTGTGGTTTGAGTCCTGGCCCTGATGATTTCAAACACGAGCCAGGACGCATGCTTGGGTTGATCCTGGGAGGAGAACGGAGGAGAAGGGATTGCCCTGGGGTGATTTCTCACTCTCCCTCTCACTGTCTTTGTCTCTTTCTCTCCAGCAAGCCCGTGCACCCCAGGTATTCAGAAGTCTAATTGAGTATCACAAAATCTTGGTCAGAGTCACTGAAAAATAGTCTTTAAATAATTTGAAGTTGCTGCTATGAAATACAATTTGGTGGTTCTCAGAAAATAAGAGAGCTACCATGTGGTCCAACAATTCTACTTCTGAAATTGACACATGGACTTGAAAAGATATTTATAACCTGTGTTCAACACAGCATTATTCTCAATACCCTAAAGGTAGAGGAAACATGGGGGCCAGCAGGTGGCATGGTGGTTAAGGATGCTGGACTTCCACATGGTTGACCACAGTTCGAGTCCTGGACCTGGAGGCTTTCTCTCTCTCTCTCTCTCTCTCTCTCTTTTTTTCTCTCTCTCTCCCCTCTCTAGTCAAATGAAAATAAATAAAGTTAAATAAAAGAATACTTCAAAAAGAAAATAAAAACAAAAGATGGAATAAAAAGACTCCAGGATTCAAGAAAAATGAGATAAGACATAGCACTTTGAGAGAATAAAGAATACCATATCAAATTATTACTCACACTCTGTTATAGACATGTGAATTTATGCCCCATGAGCTACACTTACTAAAACTTACTTTCAAGGGGCCAGCAGGGGGAGTAGTGGTTAAGGCGCTAGACTCCCACATGGCCAATTGTAGTTCAAGTCCCAGACCCGGTGGTTTGAAACACATTGGGCACGTGTGTGAGTGCGCAAAATCCCAAGAGAAGAATAGAGGAGAAGGGATTGTGACGTGGCCATCCCCCCTGGGGATGATGTTCACAGCTACCTCACAAGGGTGATTTGAGGATTGAACAAGCTAACCTGAATTAACATGGCATCTGATGCCTAATAAAACACTATCATGTCACTTATTATTATCCTGGTCAGAAAATACTAAAGAGTGACTTAAGGAGGGAATACAATTGTTGGGGAAGTGATGTTGAAGGGGCGAGTTGATCAAGAAAGGGGAGAAAGGTGGCCTTGTCCCAGTGAAAAGGAGGGAAGGCAGTATAGGCCTGGCAAAGGCTCAGAAGGCACGGTGGCCAGGGTCCAGGTACCTAAACTTTCAAGGCAGTCATAGTAGAGAGCTTTTCTGATGATTTAGTTTTAAAAACTAAAGACTTTCCTGGCTACCCCTTCATGATTCACAGTAAATGACTGTCGTAAATAACTAGGACAATTTAGAGGTTTCTTTCATCCACAATTTGGCAAACATTAGACAATTTCAATAATTCAAACATTTGCTGAGTATTTCAGAGTTCTATTAAAGATGCTTGAGCTCTTGCAGGCGGCTTGCACTTGAACACAGACACCAGCACTACCTCACAATCACCACTAGAGGGACTAGAACCAAAGTAATCAAGTTTCGAGGTACAGTATTTCCTTTTCGCGATTCCTACCTCAACAGTACATTAAACATTTTTTGAAGTACACTTACTTTATACATTTAAAAAATTCTTAAAAATCTAAACCCTACTTGAAGATAAGAAACTAAAGAGTCCTACTGACCGGTTCCCAACCACGAAATAACCACTGTTAAGATTCTTGTGTATCCTACCAGATATTTTCAATTTATATGCAAATGAATGTTTATTGTTTTATTTAAATCCATGATTTGTCCCTCAATCACCACTCCAACTTAATCTTCTACCACTCTCCATGTGCTATGCAGACGATGTTTCAGAACTTCCAACTTCCAACCTCGTTCCAGCCTAGGGACCTTTGCTGTCACTGCTCTGTCTTCCTTGGACCACCCCCTTCTTCTAACCCTTCCTCACTTAAGTGTCAGCTCATCTGTCAGTTCTTTTTTTTTTTTTTTTTTTCACTATAGGGCGCGTGCGCTCGCCAGACAGAGACATAGAGACAGAAAGCGAGAAATCACCCCCGGGGGGATGGTCACACCGCAAGCCCTTCTCCTCCATTCTCCTCCCGGGATCCTGGGCACGCACGCACACACACCCGGTGTGAGTTTAAAGCCACCAGGACCGGGACGCGAACCGGGGTCGACTACGTGGGAGTCCAGCGACATAGCCATTACGCTAACTGCTGGTTCCCAATCTGTCAGTTCTTTAGAGAGACTTGTTTGTTTGTTTGTTTAATTTGCTATAGGGCACATGTGCTTGCCAGACAGACAGAGAGAGACATAGAGACAGAAAGCGAGAAATCACCCCCGGGGGGATGGTCACACCGCAAGCCCTTCTCCTCCATTCTCCTCCCGGGATCCTGGGCACGCACGCACACACACCCGGTGTGAGTTTAAAGCCACCAGGACCGGGACGCGAACCGGGGTCGACTACGTGGGAGTCCAGCGACATAGCCATTACGCTAACTGCTGGTTCCCAATCTGTCAGTTCTTTAGAGAGACTTGTTTGTTTGTTTGTTTAATTTGCTATAGGGCACATGTGCTTGCCAGACAGACAGAGAGAGACATAGAGACAGAAAGCGAGAAATCACCCCCGGGGGGATGGTCACACCGCAAGCCCTTCTCCTCCATTCTCCTCCCGGGATCCTGGGCACGCACGCACACACACCCGGTGTGAGTTTAAAGCCACCAGGACCGGGACGCGAACCGGGGTCGACTACGTGGGAGTCCAGCGACATAGCCATTACGCTAACTGCTGGTTCCCAATCTGTCAGTTCTTTAGAGAGACTTGTTTGTTTGTTTGTTTAATTTGGTATAGGTTGCATGTGCTCTTCAGAGAGAGAAGGAAAGTGAGAAATCACCCCCCGAGGGGGGCATGGCTGAACCACAATCCCTTCTCCTTCATTCTCCTTCTGGAATTTTGGGTACCATGTTTTTCAAGTCACTGGGTCAGGGATTCAAATCATGCCATCAGCCATATGGGATCCAGCTGCCTTTACCACTATGCCACCTAGCTGGTCTCAGAGAGGCCTTTTAGAGAGACTGTCAAGTAACTTCCCCAGTCTGAGTCATTCTCCACCACTATGTTTGAGATGACTTGGTTCATTTCTGTACTTGCTTACTTATTCACTACTAAAATGGAACTTCCGTGAGAGCAAGAGTCTTGGCTGTTTAGTTTACTCCCATATTCCCAGTGTCTGAAACACAAATTAAGAACTCAAATTCAAAAGTATTTGTTGGTTGAAAAAGTGAATGAAACAATGCTGTATGGGCCAGCCAGTGGCAGGTTGGGACAGCTGGTTTTCACTTAGACTATGCGGTTCAGCTCCTGATCCAGTGGCTTGAGAAAAATACCAGGTATTTGTGCTGTGTACACCAAATCCCTTTCATTTCAGTATTTAAAATAAACTTATGGATTTAGATTTAGAGGTGCCAGCAGGTGGCATGGTAGTTAAGGGCACTGGATTTGCACATGGCTGATGGTGGTTTGAGTCCCAGACCTGGTGGCTTGCTTTCTCACTTTCCCTCTCTTGCTCTCACTCTGTCCCTCTCTGGTCAAATTAAAATAAATAAATAAATGAATAAATAAAGTTACACAAAATAATTCTTATTTTAAAAGTCTTTTAAAAAAAGATTTAAATTTAGATTTTGGGGGCCAGCTGGTGGCATGATGGTTGAGGTGCTGGACTCCCACACAGCCAACTGTGGTTCGAGTCCCAGCCCTGATGATTTCAAACTCAAGGCTGGACAATGTGCTTGGGTTGATCCCAGGAGGAGACCGGAGGAGAAGAGATTGCCCTGGGGGTGATTTCTCACTTTTCCTCTCACTGTCTTTGTCTCTTTCTCTCCAGCAAGCCCGTGCACCCCAGGTATTCAGAAGTCTACTTGAGTACCACAAAATTTTGGTCAGAGTCACTGAAAAGTAGTCTTTAAATAATTTGAAGCTGCTGTTATGGAATACAGTTTGGCAGCCCTGGACCTGGTGACTTGCTTTCTCACTTTCTCTCTCTGTCTCTCTCTGGTGAGCACACGTGCCTTACAGCAAAATTTTAAAAATAATAAAATTTAGATTTTGGTACCTTCCAAACCCCAAGTCACACCAGGGTGAGAGCTCGGGCCTGGAAGCAACCCATGTCCCCAACCCCTGTTTTTAGAGTCTGAGGTGGAGGGACAAGGCTGCTCTGGGTATAACCCTCCTGCAGCTCAATTCCTTCCCCTTGACCATGCCCTGAGTTTCCTTTGAGTGTTTGCAGATTAGC